TCTCCTATCACTTGGGTACTGACATACATCATATCAGATTCTTCATTCATATTATTAATAAAGATGAAGTCATTTGATACCAGTGTGTATATGCATGCAGGGGAATTTTTTGCCTTGACAGGAGCGAGGCTGACTGGTAAGGAATTGGTTGCAATTGGACTAGCAACCCATTTTGTCCCTCTTGAGGTTATTTTTCAACTCTCTTATTGTAAATCAAAGGTAAACGCAGCGATGAAAAATTATGGTCATACCTTTTGTCTGCAGAGTTTGAATTGAAGGATCTCGTGGGTAAATCACGTGCTTCCTGAATCTGATCAATCAATCAACCCAGCAATGGAGTGATATTACAGAATGCAAATCACCCACAAAGTCACAGTGCAAAAATGGCTATTGATCGTTGTATTTTTTGGAGAGAGTCAGTATATCGGCAAAACATACGACATACGTTGTTTTTCTTAATCACCCATATCTCATATTATATCAGATATATAAGATATCTATATCATTTATCCATATCAGTTGATATGATAGATATAGATATCCTGAGTGGTTATCCAAATAGGTTTTGAATTCAAATTCAAACTTTTGGATTAAGGTTCAAAGGTTCAAAGAAAGAAGGATCAAGCCACATGGGCCGCACAATTTCTTAACATCTCCCACTCGCACATGAGTTGGCATGACACTAGCCACATCTCTATCTCAATCTCCCAAAAAATGAACAATCTCATACTAGCCACTGCACCGTGCGACTGCTGAGAACACCTGCATGTGGGAGCTGTATACTAGAAACTCAAAATGAGCCAGCATAGAGACATCAACCAAAAAGAACAGAAATAGTGTCTCATACCCCAGACCCATCTAATTACACCGGCCAAAAAACATCTCTAATCCCTCAAAAAGAGCATGTTTGACCTCCCAATTTCTTGCAATATATTCACACTCAATCTGCCTCTCATACAGAGCAATGTGAGTTGCCGGCAGTGAATATACAACAGTGGTGTAATACTAGATGATCTTCCCTTTGCCCTTATGCCATTTAGTTTAGGATTGACCGCTTTCCCAGTGATGTCCCTTAAGGCGAATCATGCATGACCGCAGGCAATATACCAAAGTAGCAGAACATCAACCCCTTACCTTATGATATAGTCAAAAGTCACAAAAAGGTACATAAATGAAAGTCATATCAATAATGACACGTAAGACTCACACGGTGAGAAAATATGGATCCATTCTCTCACCTCATTACTCAGTCCAAGGACATATAGTATGAATACATGTTACGATGGAGTAACTCTTTCAAAAGAGTGATGCCATCCTCGATACACCGTACAGATATTAGTCTAGTCGCTTTCTAGCGCCTAACCCGAATTCTCTATTTGCTCGCCTTTCAGTGCCAAATAAGATCTCGCATCTGGCTAATCATAAACAGGCACAACATGGAAAGTGAGTACTAACATCCATGTTTGGTCCTTAACACAACCTCATCTTTGGTTGTAACTAAGGCGACATGCATAGTGGATATTTAAGCCTCTCTTGGCTCAAATAAAAATAAACCACTAGTCTCATCCTTGCTCGCTCCAAGCGCCAAGGGCGATTACTCGTGTGAGTGAGCCAATCTGCCTGTTGACATCATCATCTGCTAATCATTATGACACAAACCATAATAGTGTCAACATCCATCATCTCAAAATAAGTGATCAATTTTAAAAAAATGACCACAGCTTGCGCAATTCTAGATTCCAAACATTAATGCCTTATCAGCACCTCTTGCGATAAGTATATACAACGGAATCCACCATGTGCGCCTCACATGAAGTGATTCAGATCACAATTCTATGATTCCAAACATAAGCCTTATCAGCACCTCTTGCGATAAGTATATACAACAGAATCCACCATATTGCGGCTTCACATGAAGTGATTTAAGATCACTACCTCTTGCGCAATAACCTCTCTAAAGATATTTTGGTGACCAATTTGCGTTCATTCTTGATGCGCCCAACTAGTGCATTGAATCTTACAAGGAGCAAATTAATATACTACTAGTAAAGCATTCTATCACAGTTCTAATGAGCAAGGTCAATGTCTAAACAACTCAGTTGACCATTTACCAAAGATAACACTTATCATGCCGAATACACCTACATAGCGTACTTTAGGCTCTCACAACAAAGAAAAGATCAAGGAATATAGGTCATCTGTTTCTCCAAAGACAATTCGAGAATTCACTCAATAGCTAAGGCTCTGGCTTTTACCGATAGGTAAGTCAATGGGTTTGCAATTTTGCATCTAGAATCATTCAGGATATTTCTTATGTAACTCACGAAGACAAACGAGAATTTTTCCAAAATAATCCCTAAGGATCGTACATCCGAGCATATAAATTACATCACCCATGTCCGTCATATCTAAAATAGAGGACTGCCCACCCTAGGTGGGGACAACCTTATAAATTCCGGCTCAACCTTATAAATTCCTGGCTCATAATGACTAAGTAAGGAAAAAACTTCTTTTGGACCATTGATCATGCTCAGTGGTCTTCAATCGATCATTGTTGGCCTATCATGGCTTGACGAAATCTAAGAACCACTATGTGGATAACTGTTTTAGCTGTAAAAGTTTTATTGGAACTAGCAACCTTTTTGCGCTCCCTTTAATTTTTTACCATAAAAGCATAAGGTAAATCCCTATGGATCTACTTATCCAATTCTCTAACGAGAAGTTGGGTCACAATGTCCCACAAATCAATTCCGAACTTATGTCAATCATAGCAAAGTCGAAATAACCTCACTCTCCAGGAGGAAGTCTTCTTAGGTCTACACTTTCTCAATATGGGTTTGACTTTTCGGTATCTAGCCGAGCTTTATGCCTTAACCAATGACTATCCAAATACGCATAACTTTAGAACAGTTTTGCGTCGTAAATGGAAAGTCAACCAAATTATAGAAATGGGTAATCCTCAAAGGACTTTGTTCTTATAACTGCGCAATATTAATCCACTTTCTAAAAAACAGGAGACAGAACCTTTTGTCATTTCCTGGGCTCTTTATCATCTTGCGGAGCAATCATGATGTTTCCCTCTCAATCACCTAGTGATGACGTGGAAAATTTTCATATTTGCTATCACGCAACTAAGAATGTAGAGTATTCTCTCTAATGGAAATAATCCATTAGTAGGCACATCGCTCACACGTCCCTAGGACATTGAAAAATTTCTTTCCATTCTCAACTAGGCTACATAGAGCCCTATGCTGGGCCACAAAGCCCAATTCACAGCTCGGCCCAATTTTTTCCAAAAATTACCCTCTCAATTGCCCCTTAATTCCATCTGCACAGCATGATTGGGATTACCAGTCTACTAGCCGAGCTGGAGTTTTTTTAGCCTTTCCAGCCGAGCTAAAAACCCTTTAGCCTCTCCAGCCGAGCTACAAACTTCTAAGCCTTTTAAGCCGAGCTAATTTTTACTCCGGGCTCTGTTTTGTCCGGTCAAAACGTCTCTTCAATCACGACTGTAACGCTTCACTTTCCAATGACACGTGGCGGGCTCTGATAGGCTGGGGGCAGCTGTCACGCCGCCCTCGTACTACGAAATTTTTGAACAGTCCCGCCTTTTTGCCTTTACACAAAACAACCCTACCCTTTCACTTTCGAATCACCTACTTTTCTATTCTTCGTCTTCTCTCTCTGTGCCTCCATTTCTTCACTTCCAAGCCCGTGCTTTTCATTGCTGCAACTGCTCTACCTTCAGTTTCCTCTTCTTCCATCTGGTAAGTAAACCCATTTTTTTCCTCTGTTTTGCCTTTGTATCTCACTTTCTATGTTTTTGCGAAACATATTTATACATTTTTGTTTTTGCTTCTGTATTTTCATGAGAAAACCAGTAGAACTCATGCGTGTATGAATTATCCTGTAGAAAACTAGTCTTGGATCCAAAATCATATAGCAACTGAACTAGGATACTGTTTGTCCTATATAGGTAGATCACCTTAGACAATAACCGAACTAGAACTTGTAAAGATGACAGCAGCTTCAAAAAATAACCTTCCGTTTCATCTTAGCCGAAATAAGATCACCGAATGAAGTTTGAACATATTAAACTAGGAACCTCGGTCTTCAACCGAGCTAAGCTTTTGGGGCTAAGCCAGCTTTCTAAGTTTCTGAACCAAACTCAAAAAGCTGCCCCTAGAGACTCAGCCGAAGTAAAAACTCTTAGTTGAACTGATTTGGGCCTTTGGGGCTAATCCAGCTTTCTTAGTTCCTTAGACCAAACTCAAAAATCTACCCCTAGACTATGAACCGGTCTAACAGAGTTTGTTCTCTAAGCCTGCGTGCCGAGATGCTCGTCAGATCTGGCTTAATAAGAACCCTGCTCAAACCGAGCTACCATGTATTTTGCTAAACCGAGATAGTACCGTCCCACGAAGCCGGAGTAGGGCTCTTTTACCTTGCTTTTAATTTGTAGCACGGTCCAATGATCTATGCTTAACCCCTTTGTTTTTTACTTTGCAGACTTAGGTTGCCCAGGCACTCCTCCGTGCGCTCAACCGAGCTACTGAGCACATTCTCCCGACCGAACTTAACTTATTAGTAACTTATAAATTAAATGGGGAAGCATAGGTATCTGGTAGATACTCCGGGCGGTTTAGCCGAATTCAGGAAGGACTATAACATACCTGATGATGTCCACTTGACTTTAGCCAAAAAAGATGTCATCCCATGGGATAACGAAGGTTTCGTCCCCTTCACCTTTTTATCCATTATAGAAACCGGACTACGGTTTCCAGTCCAACCATTGATCTGTGAATTTCTTAGGCAGACTAGATTATGCCCTACCCAACTGTCCACCAATTCATACCGCATCATTATGGGAATAGCCGCACTGAACCACCGAGCCGGACTAAATCTTGGCCTGGCCGAAATCTTCCACCAATATTCCATTGGCTCAAAAGAAGATGGATGGGTTTATTATCTTAGAATACGTTGCCGCCGAGAGAAGATAATTAAACATACACCGGACAAAGATTTAAATGACGATGATTTTTTCTAGGTCTCTGGGAACTTTGAGGATTTTCAAGCCCAAATTCTTGGCCGACCTATAAATTGGAAAAAATGAGAGCCCGGTAATTTGACTTCGGTTTTCTTCCTAGTATTTTTTTATTTCGGTTTGTTAGTCTATCAACCGAACTA